ATACCTCTGCCAGTTCACCAAACTCCCAATCCAGATAGCTCGATAAGACTTATGACCAATCCATTGGTATATCAGATTAGCTCAATATTTTTTTTCTTTAGCTTGATCTGGTGGCCTGGTTGGTAATACCTTCTACCTAGAGGTTTTTGCCTGTCCAACTACTTTGAGTTTGGTATCTGTTTCATAAGACTAGCCTTTACAATAGGGCCATCAAAGAGTTGGCTACCTCTCTACTCAGGTTTTTTCAAATAGACTTCTTGTTATCCAATTTCAACAGATTTACATAGCCACAAGGACTTATCTAGCATTTGCACTGTCTAATTGCCAGTTTGCATTCTCTTGTATAATCACAACCTTGTCCTGAAGGACAATGTCATGTGACCTGTTAAATGAATGCCTTATAACCTACCAGTTATACTGGTATGACCACTATTACAGGTATTCTAACTTAATCATTAGTAACAGTTGCCATAATATGAATATTATATAGATGATTATCTAAATTTTTGCTGTCGATAGGATTTGAACACCCAACCTACCACTTGAAGGGTTGACAATCTGACCACTTCACTAGGTCGCTACACCCTCCAAAAATCAATTTATCCATATGTTGAAAAACTTGATTTCATTATAATTTTTTTGTATACAATTGTTTAATATACAGTTTTTAATATAATTGCATAAAAATTATAAACAATGACTGAATGTATTAATTATTACTAACTATTAATGATTAGTTATTAATGTTTTATTATTAACTGAAAACTCAAAGGTTCCATCTCTAAATAGTAACAAAAAATTGAAAATAGTATTAGTTATTATACAAACTTCTATTACATGTATATATAATACAGTAATAATAATATATAAAATTAAGTAATGAGCAGTACATGCAATTTCATGTGATCTTGTATATGTCTATCAGAGATATGTAAAAATTATTTCAATTTAAAGCAAAAATTTTGGTTAATTTATACAAAAATTTTAATAAATTTTGATTGATTTATGCAAAATTTTAATAAATTTTAATTGATTTATATAAAAATTTTGATAAATTTCACATTTTTATAAGCTGCTTCAATTTATTCTAACTAATTAGAAATAAAAAATCTAACTAGTTTAAACAAGATTTTAATTCAATTCTATTTAAAATGAAAAATCTAAATAATTATAATATAAAATATTAAGCATTTGAAGATAATTTTTACTTAATTTTCTCTGTTCTTATTTAAAATATTGTTATAAATAGAAAAACTATGTTCTACACTATATAATGAAATTGGTAACCAAATATAATCTAAAGTAATTTGGCTTAAAAAGGATAAATTGTGAAAAATTTTTTGCCAAAAGTCTTCTAAATTCAAATATTCTACTGAAAGTGGATCTAAATTACAATATATGCCTCATTCTTAAATAAGTTGATATGAAGGATTGAACAATTCACAAATCAAAATACTATAAAAAAGAATATCTTTAGTTGAAATAAGATTAATAAATTTTAGATCAAATATTTGAATTGCTTTAAAAAGTACACAACAAAGATAATTTGAAACATGATTTTTAAATTTTTTAAAAGCAGTATTATAAGCTGATTTAAATATTAGTAAAAATGCTTTAAAATCAAAATTAAGAGTTTAAATTAAAGAAATTAAGGATTCGTTCAAATTTTTTAATTGTATGTCATTATTAATATAAGCTTTTAATTAATTCAATTCTTCTTTAATATAAGTAAACAAAGGAAGATTCTTATATTAAAAAAAAATTCAAATTACTAATAAATTGTTATACATAAAGTTTAATAAAAAGAAGATAGATTTGCACACAACTATTATTAGTCAGGTTATTAAAAAATACAATTAATTTTTTAACTGTTTTATTTGAATCATTCATATTTTCTTTAAAATAAAAGTTTTGAATATGCTGATAATGATCATTTATATAAAATGACATTTGAAACCATGAGTTCTATCTAGTATCTACATAAAAAAGAATATTCATTGAATTCTGAACTCCATTTCTTGCTAAAAATTTAACATATCTTGTACATTTTGCTTTTGTATATATGAATATTTTTTTGATATTCAACAATATGATTTTGATTAAACCTATTTATAAAATTAGTATTTATGCTTGGCTAATTAATAAAAATTAAATTAATAATAAGTTAAGAATATAATTAAATTAAAAAAAAATTCATATCTAATAAGATTAAGAATATAATTAAATTAAAAAAAAATTTATGTCTAATAAGATTAAGAATATAGACTAGACAATGTAAATAAACAAATTGTGATATAATTGGTTTAATAACCTTATGATAACTTTTTTTAATATAGATAACCAAATTAGAGACTAAGAGATATGGACAATTAAATAGTATAGATCATTTAGTTAATGTTTTAATAATAAACTGACCCATAGTAATGTTATTAACTGAATTTAAGTAATCTACTACTATAAGCTTGGTATTTTTATGATAATTAAACAGAATATTTATAACACTTCAGGTCTGACTATCAGTCATTTTATTTATGATTATAGCTACAGGTTTTTTTTGAAAAACTTGTCTTAATTCATTAATATATTGTTAATATATTTTTGATAAATAATATTATCTTAGTGCATCAGCTTGTGGTACTAAATCTCCTTCTTTATAATACTTTCTAAAAAATAGTTGTAACATATTTACTTTTTCTAAAGATATATTTGTCTTAATAAACACTTTCACAAGATTTTTCATTACAATTTTTTTAGACTTTGCCATAGATAAAGAATCCTCCAAAGTTTGAAAATGACCATTTTGAGCTGCTGTTTTATAATTTTTTTTGTTCTTTTTATAGGTTTGAGAATCAAAATGACTAGTAATACTAACTTTATACTTTTAGGTAACTGAATGTTCACAGTAAATACACATCAACATATTATTAAAAATGTTGAAAGTATTTGAAAACTCTTTTTGATGGGTGTATGAAGTAATTGTTTTCAACTTAGAAGTCATACTAATTCAATTATTTTATGAGTTTCTAGTAAATAATCAAGAATTGACCTTTCTTTATAAAGACTATAATGACCAGACAAGTAAAAAGTAAAGTATCTAAAGAAGTCAGCGAAATGTTATTACTTCTTTAATTCAATATTACAGTATTACATTTAAAGAAGTTAGTGTAAAAATTTTTTTTTTATTGTTGATCTTGTTCAATAATATTTTCATATAATTTTTTATAATTTTGCCAAAAATTTCAGAAAATTTTGATCAAATTTGGCCAAATTTCGAGAAATTTCAGTCAAATTTGGCCAAATTTCAAAAAATTTCGATTTCTTTCGAAAATTTTACGTGTCCCTGGTGTCCATAGATGGTCC